AGATTTTTTTAGCAACATAACCAGTGTCTTAACCGGTTGTATTGGTCATTGCCTTTTAAACTTTACTTTTGGATGAAAAATAGAAGGAACAGCCTAATGGGCTGGAACCATGTCCTTCACTCCCTAATTCTCTAATTTTTACCTTCTTAGATGAACACAGATTTTTATGATTATAATTATTATGATTTGTTGTTGTTATGTGCCGTGGAGTCACCTGCGACTCATAGCAACCCTTTGTATAACAGCCCTAAACTCTGTCCTGTCCTGTGCCAATCTCACCATCTCTGACACACCCACCCCAATTACCCCAGTCACTGAATCAGTCCATCTCATTGAGGGTCTTCCTCTCATGCGCTGTCCCTCCACCCTCCCAAGAGTGACCTCCCTCTACAAGGACTGGTCCCTCCTTGCAAGATTATTATGATTATGATTATTGGCAGCCACTATGATGGATGGAGAAGAGACTGAGGTTGTTAACAGAGCTTGCTCAGCTCCACATCAACACTCTTGGCACCAGCAGTCAGGAAATCAAAAGACGAATTGCATTAAGTAAATCTGCTGTCAGGACCTTTCTAGAGTACTGAGAAGCAGTGCTGTCAGGCTAGAGACTAAGATGTGCCTGATCCAGTCCTTGATCTTTAAAATTACTTGCTGTGCATCAGAGAGCTGGATAATGACTAAGGGTGACAGAAGAAGAATTGATGCCTTTGAGTTGTGGTGCTGGAGAGGAGTCTTGAACATTCCACCGACTGCCAAGAAAACAAATAGGTCTGTCTTGGAGACGGTGAAACCAAGTTTCTCCTTGGAGGTGAGGATTTTGAAGCTCTGTCTCACATAATTTGGGCACGTGGCCAGGAGGGACCAATCCTTGGAGAAGGACATGCTCAGAAGGGTGGAGGGACAGTGCAGGAGAGGAACACCCTGGATGAGATGGATTGATACAGTGACTGGGGCAGTGGGATAGGTGTGTAAGAATCAGTGAGACTGGTTCAGGACAGGGCAGGTTTCAGAGCTGTTGTTTATAGGATCACTATGAATTGCAGGTGACTTGACGGCACATAACAATATGTGACAGAATTGACCTGCGATCCCAGATATGTGGGGTTCAAATCCACCAGATGCTCTGCTGGAGAAGGAAGGACAATCTCCTGTACCAGCCAGATATGATTTGATGGTACAGGCACAGAAAAGAATAAAATTTAAAAAAAAATCAAAAAAACAACAACAAAACAAACAACATGGGACAAAACTGAGTTGACATTTGATAAAGAAATTAGTTTCAGGGCAGTATGGCTCCTGTATCCGTGGATACAGGCTTCCCAGTAGGCTGGCACTATGCCGAGGGCTCTGTCCTGCTTGGACTCCAGCCATAACTTTTTTTTTCTGGGTAGACTGTGAACATCACCACTTGTGGGTATCACTGTGGGGTCTTGAGAAATTTTAAGGTGGGAGAGAGTAGACCTTGAAATCAGCTGATGCTTTGAGCTTTAAAAGAATGCTGTCTATCCTTTAAAAAGGAAGCTTTTAAAAGCTATGGCCAAGTGGTCAGGAAATCCTGATAATTAAGGAGAAGTTGTGGGGAGGGGAATCTTTCTTGGCAAGAGTTTCTAAAACCATGCTGAACCCTTGGCACCCAGGCTTCCCTGTGGGTCCCATCGCTTTGAGTGCTTTTGCTGGTCCCTGTGGTCTGTGTGAACTAAATGCTAAATGGAGATGGGACTAAGAAGGAGCTACCCCTCCTTCCCTGAAAGCAACACTCTTATTTCCTGTTTTTTTACCAGTACTGCAGCCCCTTGGGAATAGCTGAGAGACTGTGGGAGGATGGGGGAGGGATGCTTTAGGTAGAATGTGAGATGCTGTCTGTTCTGTTTAGCTTTGTTCTAGAAGGAAGAGAGTTAACTGAAATTTGAAGGTGAAGGGTTCGTAGGGGAATTTTTATTCAGCATCTATTGATATTCAGCCACTCTACAGTTACTCTCTTTTTTAGATGCCATCGAGTCGTCTGTGACTCAGCGACCCTGTGAACTTGAACCTTCCTCCCTCCTGCCCCAGCCTCACAATCTCTACACACTCAAGCCTGTTGGTAGTCACTGTGCCAATCCTTGAGAGTCGTCTTCTCTTTGACAGACCATACACTTTCCCAGCATGGTGTCTTTTCCCAAGGACTAGCCCCACATGACAACTTGCTCAAAGTCTGAGACCAGGTTCCACCATCCTTTCCTCTAAGTACTCTGGTTGAACTTGCTTCAAAACAGATTTATTTGCTCCTTCGGCAGTTCCTGGTATAGACAGTACTCTTCTCGAAAACCACAGCCCAAAGATACTGATTTTTCTATGGTTTTCCTTACTCATTGTCTAACTTTTAGCTACGTAGGAAGCAACCGAAAGATAACCTTGACTTGGTTCAAGCACGTCTCAGTTCTTACACTGTCATTCTTGCCCTTTAACACTTTAAAGAGGCCCCTGACAGCAGTTTTCCCCCAAGGCAACACGTCTTCTAATTTCCTGAGTGCTACCACCATGGGTGTTGATTATAAATCTAAGTGAAATGAAAGTACTGACAACTTCAGTCTTTCCTCCATCTGTCACGATGTTGCCTGCTGGCTTAGTGGTGAGCATTTTTGATATCTTGCTGTTGAGGTGTAATCCATACTGAAGCCTGAAGTCTTTGATTTTCTTCAGTAAGTCTTCCCTTTTTGCAAGCAAGGCTGTTCAGCTGCGTAAACCAGGTTTTTTCCCAGATTTCCATTATTGCCATAGTTGAATCATTTAGCGGCTACCATGACAGATAGTTCTTCCCCCATGTAGTGACCCAGGAGTGGAGGCCTAGCTGGAGCATAATGTACAGCAGAGCCAGGACCAGGGTACTGCCTTCCCCGGCTTGCTCCTGTCACCTCCTGCATAAAGCTTTCCTTGACACTCGCCTGTTTGCTGTCCTCCAACTAGCTGACCCTTGACTGTGCCCTGGCCTCCAAGGCCCAGTCTCCTTCCTCATGTGGTGGGAAGCTGCCACTTCCTCTGCTGCTTTTACCTGAGGAGCAGTGAGAAGCAGCCCCGTGGGACTTGCTCCTTTGTAACACCCACACCTGGGGCGCTAGGAGGCGCTGGGGAGCTGGTGAACTTGACACACCTCTCAGAAACTTCCTTGTGGGCCTGGGCCTTTCTCTGCTCACTGGGATTTACCCCGTCAGCCTGGTCTGGCCTTTTGGCTGTGGGAGACTGGCTGGCTGGCAAGCCCCTTGTCTCATGTACAGAGGCTGTCTCTGGGCCCAGGGCCCTGAAAGTTACTTGCAGATACAAACTGGCAAGTTGATCTCTTTTAGTTTTGTTTCTCCTGGGTTTTTGCTTGATATCTTCCTTGCTCATCGCCCCCACCACTCTTCTTGTGTAGTAACTATAGTCTCAATGTCTTTCTGACAGTTTTCTGTCTCCTTGGATGCAAGTTTCCTCCCCAGGATGCCTCCCTTCCCTTTCTTCCTGGCAAGGAGGGAGAGAAGCCAGATTTGATGGTGTTTGCAGGGCCAGAGTAACAACTGTTTGTGATGGGGCCTGGAAGGTGCTTGTACCCCCCCCCCGAAGAGCAGGGAGTCCCCTCTACCCTCTGCTTCAGGAGCTCGCCCAGCTCAGTGCCACCCTCCCCCACCTCGGAGCCTGCAGCCCTGCAGAGTCTCCCTGACGACAGGATGGAGCAGATAAAAATAACCTATTGTGCCGGCCCTCCGTGTACACGTGTGCATGCACGTGTGTGTACATGCGGGCCCTTTCTCCTGCATCCGCTCACCCTCAGTCCTTGTGGCTTCCAGACACTCTGCACATAGCCCAGGGGGTCCTCAGGGGCCAAAGGCTGGAATTTGAAGCTCTGAAGGTCTAGGTTCTGATGTAGAACGTGCTTCCTGTGCAGTTTTACACACAGTTTAGAGTCTCCTTCGGCAATAATAGGAATTGTTGGCTGACATTGGTGTCATCTTTCATAATAGAATGCCAGAGCATTCTACTTATTTCAGTTCTTGTCATTCATTTCCACTTTCTCATCTTTGTTTTAAAGTAATTGCTGTTTGGTCTCCTATGATTGATATTTTTTTAAAAAAAATTTGAATTTAATTTTACTGTTTTTTGTGTGCGTGCCGTCAAATTGTATCTGACTGGTACAGAAGGAAATTGTCCCTCTTTCTCCAGAAGAGCATCTGTTGGATTTGAACCATGCACCTCTGAGATTGCAGTGCAGCTTCTTTCCACTAGGCCACCAGAGCTCCCTTGGATGATTTTTTTTATAAAGGAGCATAGCGTCCACTGGTGATAGTTTTCCTATTGTGATCAAATCTTTCATTTAGCTGAATGGTTTGGTCTCAGGGCTTGAGGAGTACCTCAAGGGAGTCATTTTGGGGAGTTGTTGTGATGGGGTGTAAAGTTAACTAGAAAATGCAAACCTGTTCTGAGCCTTGGTCTTAGTATCTTCCACCCAGAGGAGGGGATCCTTGGGGGTTCCCTTGTTTCAGAACTTCAGGAGCAGTGGACTAGACTGTAACCCTGGATGGTATAAGTGTTAGTGGTGAGGGTTTTTCACAAGATAGATGGGCATTCCTGGCTGCCCACAGAAAAGCTGGGTAAGGACTGAATTTAGGACTACTTCCAGCAGGGGCAGAGTCGGGGGTGGGGTGGGTGCTGCCCGGTGAAATCCAGGGATTGTCTCCTTTTACATTCTTGGCCTGCAGAGAGAACGTTTCTGTCCTCTGGACCTTCCTTGGCCACATCATGTCAGGCCTGGGGATTGTGAGTGCTGGGCCTGCGCCCTCTGTGCACACACTCCCCTCTTTCCAGGGAGTGCTGGGCACGTGGACACTTGTCAGAGCCGCACTGGGATTGCTGCCAGTTCCACCAGTTCCTGTTGCCTGATGTGCCAGGTGCTCAGGCCCTTTGTGGTCTTTCCCCACAGGTCTCGCACGCCAGGCGTCCTCACGCGGTGGTTCTGACCTCCCCACCTTTGTGTCTCTGCCATGTAGGAGTCGGAGTCGGAAGTGAAGGTCGATGGAGAGACTGCATCGGATAGTGAGAGTCGAACAGAACCAGCCCCCGTACCAGCCTCCGTAGATGATACCCCGGAAGTCCTCAACAGGGCCCTTTCCAACCTGTCCTCAAGGTAACCTGGCTCCTGATGCAGGATGTCTTCGTGTCACGGAACCTTCATAGAGCAGCGTCCATTGACGTGTCCTCACTACCCCCTGTCCCTACTTAACCACAGCCCCTCCTGCCCTGCCCAGTACCTGCTGTCCATGGGGCCCTGGGGCAGTGCCCAGTGTGATGTGATGCCAAGCTTTATGGTTCATGGATAACCAGGAGGAGGGGGGGCACCTATCCTGAAAGAGTCTAGCACTTGGTAGGTGCTGTAGACCTGGCCTCTGAGGTGCAGTCCAAAGAGGAGGAAAAGCGTGGATGAACAGGGGGTCTTGTTTCAGTAGTGGCTGACGCAGAGCATGTTGGGAAATCATGCTTGGTGTTTGTAACTAACAAATGTACTTTTCACGAAGGAGCCCACAACTCTTATGTAGTTTAGAGTTCCATTTTCCCTCTCATGCTTATGTTGATGGTGAAGAAGTGCTTACATTTTCTAGAAGGAAATTGAAAAAGTGTCTCCATTTGAGTGCATGTAGGATTAAAACTTTTGACCCTTGAGAATCTCATCCTTCAAACATCAGCGATGTGCATAGGTTAAAAGCACACATTTATGTAACATGCCAAGGCATTAGCGGAAAGTGTTAATGGTTAATGTGTGTGTTGCCCGGCCATCCATTTGGAAGGCCATATTGTGCGGTGGTTGAGGGCATGGATTCTGGAAGTGAACTCCTGGATTCAAATCTTTACTTCACCCTTTTACTATTATGACTCGTCTGCCTTTGTTTTCTTATCTGTAAAAGCTTTTTCTTCCAAGAGTTGAACACATTAATTAATGTAAAGTCCTTCTGGGCATGCCTGTCACGTATTTGTGCTAGCTATTTTTATCATGATTTAATTTATGATCATCCCAACCCTGCAGGAGCAGTGCATTGTGGGATTCTGCCACAGGGAACATGTTGATAGGTTCTCATCAGATAGAGAAGCCATCTGGATGCAGACGGAAGCAGAAGGCGCCTGTTCTGCTTGAGCGCTTTGCTTGATTCCTTCATGAAGACATGCACTGGGTGTATTTTGTACAAGCCTTGGAGCATGAGCTGATTTGATTTGGTCATGGGTGAATTGATGGCATCAGCAGCCCCATTTCTGCCAGTATGTGGGTAGCCCCTCCATCAAGGCAAACCCTCTTTCCTGGAAGGAATTAGCCCTCAGGGTCCTCTAATCCTGGGAAGAGCCATCCCCATGAAGCTTGTATTTCGAGTCTTTCTGGACTCCTAAGTGAGTTAGGAAGCTCTGGGAGTTTACTGCTAAGACGCTGTGCTGCAATCCCAAAGGCACATGGTTCAAATCCATCAGCTGCTCCTCGGGAGAAGGATGGGCAGTTTCCTCCCATTGTATTAACTGCCTCTGAAAACCCCCTGAAGGGTCATGTATGGGTTGGTTCAAACTCGACGGTACACAATAACACAACAACAACTAGTGAGTTGCTTCCTACCTTGCCAATGACTTTCTCTTTTCTTTGCCCTAGATGGAAGAATTGGTGGGTAAGAGGCATCCTGACTTTGGCCATGATTGCATTTTTCTTCATCATCATTTACCTGGGACCAATGGTTTTAATGATGATCGTAAGTCCCCTTTGTGTACTACTTACTTCACTTTCCTCCTCCAGAACTGACCTTCTCAGTACCTGCTGCTGGGTTGGTGTGTGGGCTCAGTGTGGAGCCTCGGCTCCTTTGAATCTTTTTGCCTGAGAACTTCTGAGGCTTCTTCTGCCCAGCAGCCTCCTGGAGGACACATTGGCACATGCCAGTTGTTTGTGGCTGAAGATGTCTTTTCACTATTCAGTGGTAATAAAATATTGATTAGGTTATTCCAGCTGCTCGATTGAGCTGTGATCCTGGTGTTAATGGATTGAATTGTGTCCTCTTCAAAATAGATATTTTAATTTCACATTCTTTGTGAGGAGGCTCTGATGGTATAGTGCAGAGTATATTGGGCTGCTAAACAGGTCAGGGGTTTGAATCCACCAGCTGCTCCTTGGCAGGAAGATGGGCAGTCACTGTCCCACTAAGATTTACGGCCCAGGAAGCGTGGCCCCCGGAGGGCTGGAGGGAGAGGAGAGTCTCAGGACTGCAGAGTCTGGTGGGTGGAGGGAGGAGGTAAAAGAATTAGGAAAGCTCCATTGAGGACCTGAAAAGACAGGGTAATAGTAAGATAGATTGATGGTGATTAATTTTATAAAACACAATGTATGGAAATGATCCTATGAAACACAATGTGAAGGAAGGAATGTGTGAAACACAACGTGTATGAATTTTGTATGAAAACCAGTATAACTAAAAAGTGACACTCAACAGGTATTTCCCAAGTGAATAATAAATTAATAAAAAAATAAATAAAAATGGAAGGCTGTAGGTTCTGTTGTCAGAATCAGCTGTGGTGGATTTTGTTTTAGGTCAGTTGTTGAATCCCATTCTAAACAGGCTGCCTTTATTATGTTAATGAGGCGGGATTAGTGTAGGGTGTGTTTTGAGATGGGCTCTTTGAGATGAAAGGAGTGAACAGAGGAGAGAAAAAGGAAGGTACACGCCAAGCCCCATGTTCAGAAGAAGGACAGACCTTTCTTAGGAGCCAGCAGAGAGCCTTCCACAGCACTGGGCCCCACATTCAGACTTTTAGCCTCCTAAACTGTGAAAATGAACTTCCCGTTTGTTAAAGTCATGTATTTGTGGTGTTTCTGTTAGTGCAACACTGGACAGCTAAGGCACCTGGAAGGTATCTTTGACTCTTCATTGTGTGTCTTATTTTCCTGGGGCCTCACTAGTGGGCTTAGGCTTTTTGTAAAGCAGTCTCGGTGCGCAGTGCTTGTCCCTCAGCCTTCTCGTCGTGGACACGGTCAAGTGACCGACAGCTAAGTACTGACAAAGTACTCGGCTCTTTTCTTAGAATTTATATTCAACGTCTCCTATGTTGCAGGAGAAGAAGCTAATTCAAATAACAGGACCTATATTTCTTGTGGGAAATTGGCCTTACTCTTGTGACATGAAAGGCGGCCATCCTGGGACTGTGTGAGAGAGGAAGAGGAGGGCGGAAGCACTGCAGGGCGCACATATTTCTTGATTACAATTATTTTTGTTTAGGGTCCATGTCTTAGTGGTTTTTTTTTTCTTCTTATTTTTTTGTCTTAGTTTTCTAATGCTGTCTTAACAAAATACCACAAAAAGGATGGCTTTAAATAACAGGCATTTATTTGCTTACAGTTGTAGAGGTCAGAAGTCTGAACTAGGGTATTCATTGTGTCAGTCCCTTCTGAGGATTTGAGAGAGGAAGTACCTCATATGTCCTTGATGTGCTCTTGACCTGCCTCCGTTGCCTCACGGCCCTGTTTCTCCCTCGTGTGACTCTCTGGGTCTGTTCTCCCTTTTACAAACACTTCTCAGACAGAGGGCTCAGACCTGCCTTACCCGATATGTTCTTCTATATGTCTTTATTTATCTATGTGTTGTTACAGATTTCTTTATGTCTTCAAAGAAAGGTCCTATGTCCCCAAACATGACTTCACCCTAATGTTTTTGGGTGACAAAATTTAATCCATAATCACTTGTTGTATTAGTATCCAGACGTCATTAAGGACTGGGAACTCAGCAAGTGATCACCTTTCCCCCCCATGTCTTCCAGGTGATGTGTGTTCAGATTAAGTGTTTCCATGAGATCATCACCATTGGCTATAATGTCTACCACTCCTATGACCTTCCCTGGTTCAGGACTCTCAGCTGGTAAGCTCGCTAACCCTGTGGGGATCCTCAGCAGTTGGTATAAGTGCTTTATGATCGCTGTTTAAGGTGCTGGTGGTGGTGAGCAAGAGGCCGGGGTGGTGACTATAGACTGGCACAGCCCTTGAGATTGTGGAGGATTTGTGGGCCAGGCTGTGCGACTGGGCCTTGACTAGTCCCACAATTGCTCAGAAGAAACTAGACCAACTCTGACCACAGTCACGTTGGTGTTTGGGCTCCTCAGATGCCATGTAATATCCTCCTTCTGCGTCAGCATATTTTCTATGCAGTAGTATTTGTACCCCAGCATTTCCCCGAACTGTCTACCTGGGAGCTGGAAGGTTCTGGGGCCGGTGTTGCTATTTCTAGGACTTGGTTTCCTCATTGTTGGTTTCTCAAGTAACTGAGGCTCTGTCGTTTCCACACTGTTACTTTAAAGCCCTGGTCCCCTGGGAGGTGCCTTGACAGCTAGAGTGATGCGGGAGTAAGACTGAATACTGGTGCTTCTGAGAAGCCAGGAGGGTGAGACTAGGCCTCACCTGCTTCGGGCGTGTTGTCAGGATGGGCCAGTTGCTGGGAAAGGCTGTCATGCTGGGTAAAGTGGGAACTGGCGGAAGGGAAGACCCTCGATGGGATAGATTGACACAATGATTGCAGCAAAGTACAGCGGACGTGGATGCCACGGGTTGGGCAGGGTTTCAGTCTGTTGTACATAAAGTCACTGAGAGTTAGAATCCACTTGATGACACTTAACAACAACAGAAAAGGACTCTTGATACCTTAAATCAAAAACAACAGTCTGTTTTCAAACCTAGCTGCTGTGCCAGAGAAAAGGCCTGGCAATGTCACAGAAGCCCTTTGAAGGTCACAGCCCGGGGACCCTGTCAGAGCTTTTCTGCCACATTGTGTAGGTGCTTTGTGAGTATGAATCTGTTCAATTCTCCGTAACAACACGCCGGTGCCGTCTGACCGAGCACTGCCTGACGTTGGGAAGATGAACACAAATCCAGGCCCTTCTCACCGTGTTGTGTGGGATACAGCATCTGGTGCCTGTGGTCTAGCAGGACTGAGGGTCAGTGTGAGACTCCAGCGAGTTAGTCCTGTCTGAGGTAGCTGCCGTGCTCCTATGAGGCCCTGTGTACCTTCCATGGGAGAGATGGTCTCCCACCAGCCGGCAGGGCAGGCTGCCCCCCAGCCCTCTGGGTTATAACAGATAGGCTGTGGTTGGAAAGCAGTGTCTTGGATGTTGTTAACATACTCAGGTATGATCTCAGGGCTCATCATCAGAGGAAGTTTTTTCTGTGTAACAGAATAAATCCAAAGATGAGGAGTTCTTGAACTTCTATGATTTTAAAGGATAGATAAAGATAAGAGGAAACTTTACTTTTCCTCCCCTATCTCAGGAATCCTGGTCAAGTGTTGGGAGTGATGGCTGCAAGGTCATGATTAAAAGTGCCATGGAGGGAGGTGAGCTTTACCACTTGACTCTGACGCGCCCCAGTTGAGAACAGGGGATACAGAAAAGAGTTAACGTGAATGAAGGTTATCGTCAGCGCCAGGCTGCAGAGAGGGAGATGCTTTGAAATGAGGGGCCTAATTAATTGCCTGTTAGTTCTACCGTTTGCTCTTGAAGCACAGGTGAAATGCATGTTTTGAGTAGTGGATGAAAACAAGTAAGTAGAATGTTCCAGGCAGGAGAAAGCAGGCAGCTGGGGATGGCAATGTGAACCATTTTGACAAGAGTGGAGATTAAAGAAAGATGCTTGGGAAGAGTGCAGATAAGACTGGGGACCAGGGAGGGTGGATGGAGCTGTGTTTTTACTCTGTGTTATGGTTTGAGTGCTCTTAGAGGTAGATGGAGACTCTATATAATGGTCAGGGACACTCCCAAGGTCACTGGAAAGAGAGAGTGAAAATTGCCACAGGTGTCTCGATCAGCTTCCCACCAGCCATGTTACCAAAGGACGAAGGTCGTCCTACTTGTCCCTGTGTGACTCACATGGGGCTCAGGGCCAGTCGGATGGTCCTCTCTGGTCCTCTCCTCTGTGTCTACTCACAGCCTGTGTCACAGAGGATGCATGGGCTCCCCATGCAATGTGCTGACCTGTCTCTGTTTACAGGTATTTCCTTTTGTGTGTGAATTATTTCTTCTATGGGGAAACGGTGACGGATTACTTCTTCACTCTGGTCCAGCGAGAGGAGCCTCTGCGGATTCTCAGCAAATACCACCGCTTCATTTCCTTCACTCTATATCTGACAGGTAGGTGGTTGACCAGTTCTTCTCAATACCACCGCTTCATTTCCTTCACTCTATATCTGACAGGTAGGTGATTGACCAGTTCTTCTCTCAGCATGGTTTTCGTGTATGTATTGACGGGAGTCAGAGAGTCCTCGGTTACAGCAGAGCAGTCATGGTGTCAACGTGCAGAGGAACGAGCCGACAGGGCAGCTGGGGGCCAGCTGGGGGTTGTGACGTGGCAGCTCTTCACAGACGTGAGCGATAGAGACCGAAGAAGTAGGGGTTTGGGGAAAGGGCTGCAGCTTATGCTGTGTTCCTGTGCTGTGTTCTAGTCTCAGTTGGAAGACACCAGAAAGGAACTGCTTAGGTAGAATCGGTGGCGGGACCAAAGCAGAAACCCAGGAGCCAGCAATAAGCGCACGTGACCAACTACTTCAGAGTAGTATCTTAGGATAATGCTTTTGGAAATGGCAATGTGGTAGACATGTCACTAAATTTGAATTTGAAAAGACAGTGATTTTAAGAGGGCCAGAAATTTAAAGTTTCTGAGTTAGCTCTTTTGAAACCTAGAGCTAAAAATTGCAGGATTACTGTGAGGATCTAATCAGATGCCTTAAAACTTGACAAGCAATAAATACTGTATTAATATAAACTTAGTTAAATGGCACCCATATTTAAAGAATGCTGTCATTATTTTTTGTTATTTGTCATCCAATATGGATGTCACATGAAACTCCAAATCTTGCTTTGCAACACAGAGGAGCTAAAGTGGAAGGAAGGAGTCAAGTAAGAGCTGAACAGACCATTTCAAAGGGCAGCGTGAGAAGACAAAACAGAGTATTATAATGAAAATGTGCAAAGACCTGGAAACGGAAAACCAAAAAGGAAGAACACACTTGGTATTTCTCAAGCTTAAAGAACTGAAAAATAAAAAGAACTGAAAAACAGATTCAAGTCTTATGTTGCAGTACTGAAGGATTTTCTGTGGGAAATACTAAATGAAGCCAGAAACATCAGAAGAAGATGAGAAATACTCAGTCACTGTACTGAACAGAATTGGTCACCACTGAGTCATTTCAGGAAGGAGCACATGCTCCTGAACCACTGGAAGAAGAGGTCCAGGCTGTACTGAAGGCACTGGCGAGAGAAAAGTTTCCAGGAATTCACAGAGTAACAGTACAGGTATTTCACCAAACAGGTGCAACCCTGGATGGACTACTCACTTTTGTGTGCTTGAAAATTTGGAAGAGAGCTATTTCGCCAGCCAACTAGAAGAGATCCATATTTATACCCATTTTTGAAAAAGAAAAAGATTAACTAGAAAGTGTAAACTATCAAGCAATATAATGTCAAATTAAAATTGTACTTAATGGTGGCCACGTGGCAAGAAGCTGCACAGCAAGCCTGAAGGCACACAGTTTGAGGCCACCAGCTGCTCCACAGGAGAAAGATAGGCAGTCTCCTCTCGTGCGATTAACTACCTCTGAAAACCCCTTGGAGGGTCAGCGATGGGTTTGTTCTGACTCTGTGGTACACAACAACATTATTAAGAAATTACTGGAGTGGTACACTGACAGAGAACTGCCAGAAATTCAAGCTGGATTCAGAAGAGCCGTGGAACAAGAAATACATATCATTACTAATGCCAGATGGATCTGAATTGAAAGCAGAAGATACTGAGAGATGTGTACTCGTGGTTTTTGACCAGGCAAAGACATTGAACTGTGTGGATCACGCTGAAGAAGAATGTGAATCTGGAACACTTGTGTCTATAACACTTGTGTTTGTGGAACCAGTAGAGGGACCAGGAAGCAGCCATTGGAACAGAAGAAGGGGATAATGTGTTGGTGTACTGTTGAGTTGGAACCGACCCACAGCTGATCCTCCAGTGGGTTTTCAGAGGCAGTAAATCACGTGAGAGTTGATTGCCCTTCTTTCTCCTGCAGAGCAGCTGCTGGATTTGAACTGTGTATCTTTGGATTGCCCGCCCACCTCCTTACCACTAGGCCACCAGAGCTCTCTTTGGAGATACTGCATGGTTTAACATCGGGAAAGGTGTGCATTGGAGTTAGATCCCTTTCCTCTATAAATGTTCAGTCTCTGCTGAAAAAATTCACTTGTGAAAGCTGAGCTTGTAGAAGAATGTCACATCAGGATTGGAGGAAGACTTCATCAGCCACCTTTGATAGGCAGATGATGCAGCCTTGCTTTCTGAAAGTGAAGAGGACGTCGAGCACTTACTGAAGAGAATTAACAGCTGTAGCTGTCAGGGTGGATTACACCTCAAATAAAAATCCTCATAACTGGACCAGTAGGCGGCCTCATGAACAGAAGACAGATTGTTGTCAAGATTTAGTTTTACTTAGATTCACAGTCAACACAATCGGAAGCAGCAGTCAGGAAATCAAATGATGAGATACATTGGGCATATCTGCTGCCATGGACCTCCTTAAAGTGCTGTAGGACGAGGGTGCCAGTTCAAAGACTAAGGCGTGCCTGAATGAGCCTTGTTATTTTCTTGTTTCATGTTATTTTTGTTGGATACCATCAAGTCAGAACCAACTCATAGCTGACCCTCCAATGGGTTTTCAGAGTAGTTGGCCTAACGGGAGGAGAGTGCCCATCCTTCTCCTGCGGAACAGCTGGTGGTTTTGAACTGTGTGCCTTCGGGATTGCAACAAAGCTGGCTTCCTATGCACTGAATAAGGAAGCCTGAAGAAGAAATGATGCCTTTGCATTATGGTGTTGGCAAAGAATACTGAGTAACGAGTGACCAGAAGAACAAGCCAGCTTGTCTTGGAAGTGCGGCGGGAGTGCTCTGTAGAGGCGAGGATGCTGACCTCACCTCCTGTAAGTTGAACATGTCATCAGGAGGGACCAGTTCTTGGAAAAAGTAGGAGGTCATTGAAAGAGAAGAAGACTCTGAAGGAACTGGATTGACACGGTGGTTAAGCACAGCCGAGATTGTGATACTGGTGCAGGGTCTGCCGGGGTCTCCATCTCTTGGACCTGGGGTCACAGTATGTATCACCCTGACAGCACCTAACAACAGCAACGGTCATTTCAGTCTGATCTTGGTTTTGGTGCTAGAGCAGTTGTTGGCTCTGGGGAAAGTTCATGGCACTAACATAAAAATCAGTGGTCAGAAGTTTGCTTTCGTCTGAAAGGTCTCAAACATCACCTTCAGACCCTGGAAAGGAGCTCCCCACACAGAGGTCAGTGGCTGGGGGACAGTACCATGCCAGCTGGTGTAGCCAAGGGCATCTGGGCAAGGACACTTTCAAGGCCTGAGCACACTTTGGTGAGAAAGTCACTTCTGGTTGATGGAGAAGGGGCTGTAGATGTTTTCCTGCTGTCTGGGTCAGAGAAGAAAGAGATGCTAATCTGGCTTTGGCTCTGTTCCAAGTGGAAGCTTCCCTGCTCCCCCCAGTATGTTTGTAGGACCCCAAACCCCAACCAAACTCATGCTGTCAAGTCTGTGGCTTCCTTTACCCTTTAGAACAGTCCTTTGGGGTTTCCTAGGCTGTGATCATTATGGAAGAAGCTGACTCTGACATCCTTCTCCTGTGCTGTAGCTGCTGGGTTGGAAACACTGGCCTTTCGGTAAACAATAAGCTGCTTAACCATGGTGTCACTGGGGCCCCTATTTTTAGGACAGGGATTGGAAAATGCTTTTTAAAGGTTGTTGTTGTTAGGTGCCGTCGAGTCGTAGATGACTCATAATGACCCTATGAATGAAAGGCTTGAGCACTGTTCATAGAGTTTCTGGAGGCAAGCCATTTCGGAAGTGGATGCCACTCCTGCTACCAAGCTTGTTTTAATCGGGAACCTCCAGCAAACACCGTCCACCATGGGTACCCATTACCATGTTTGGCACATCACTTCCACGGTGTTCAGCATCACAGCAACCATGAGTTACCTCTGTACAGCAATGCACAGACCAGTGCTATACCACCTAGAAGAATGTTGGACAAAAAACAATTTGAACCAGGCCTGAGGGCCTCAGATTAGAATCACCTACCTTGGGTTTGGTAGCACAACTTGCTGTCCACTAGGCCAACCTAGCTCTCTCTATGTCATTGTTGTTGTTGTTGTTGTTAGGCACCATCGACAACTTATAGAAACGCTGTGAACGAAAGGCCTGAGCACTGTTCATAGAGTTTCCAGAAGCAAGCCATTTCAGAAGTGGATGCCACTCCTGCTTCCAGGCTTGTTATTTCAGTATATATTTTAGGCTTTGGGGCCATATAATCTCCAGTCCAGCTATTGCATTGTCATTATAGAAGGGAAACATAGACAGTATGTAAGTGAATTAGTGTGCTATGTTCCAGTAAAACTTTATTTATAAAAACAAGCTACTGTCCTGGCTATGGTTGGCTGACCCCTGCTCTGGGAACCAAACAATTCTATCAGGAAGACAGTGCCCTCAATTGAATGCAGACTGCAGGATTTTACAGTATTGCCTTCAACATGTTGATTGTCTTGATGGAGTCACTTTCCCCTCCTGCTTGTTTATCTGGGTAACTAGCTTTCCCCCGCTACCTAGAGCTTTGGAATTGTGCACTGGCTCACTGCTGCCAGGAGATTAGGCAAAGGATGCGTTAGCACAGCTGACGGAAATGACGAGGGCAAAGATAAACGCAGGATGTGATTCATTTTGTCCTCTCTTCTTCTCCCTCCTCAATCTAGGGTTCTGCATGTTTGTGCTGAGTCTGGTCAAGAAGCATTATCGGCTGCAGTTCTACATGGTAAGGGGGCTCTGTGTGCACGCACTGGGATTCCTGGCTTCCCGGAAGCAAGTCCTGTCCAGAAACTCGGCAGGCTGCTCCTCCTTCCTGTGATCGAATTCCAGCTCAGGCGCTCAGACTGTTCTGTGTGCATCTGGAACGTGGAGCGTGAGGAGAGAATGCCTGCTTCGTTTGGCTCCTTGCCGTCAACCTAGATCTAAGTCCTGCTACCATCTCCTAATCCTCTTACCCGCTAGAGCCCCGACAGTGGACTTCAAGTGAGGCTCAGGTGAAGCTTCAGATGTTACCCACAAATCCCCTTCCTGACACATCACTTGTGTATCAGTCAGGCTCCCTAAAGAAACCAGTAGGAAGGGCGTGTTTATATCTGTAGTCTTCTTCAGACATGCTTTCAATTCTAGAGGCTTGCATGTATGTAAACAGAAACAAATAAAATGGCTCACATGAAGGCAGACCAGAAGCCTGAAAACTCAGATGTGATTTCTGTGTTACAATCTTGAGACAGAAATCCTCCTCCTCTAAAAACCTTCAGGTTCTACTTGCAAGACCTTCAGCTGGTTGGAAGAGGCCCACCTACATTACTGACGATAATCTCTTCTACTTAGATGTCATCTGGTTGTGAATGTCAAGCACATCACAGTGGCCTCAGACGAGTATTTGACTGAACAGCCAGTTCAGCCACTTGCACCTGTGAAATGAGCCGTCACCACTTTGCACTGCTCGTTCCCTTACCTGACTTGAGGACACCTGCTCTCGGAGTGCCGTATTGAGAAAATGAAAAGGACCGAGGCTTTCAGGGCACAGCAGGGCTCACTTAGGAGTGGACCCTGCTGCGGCCTCTGGTCGAGCATGGGTGTGCGTGAGATGGGAGTGTAGGCAGGAGCCTATCAGGTTTTCCCAGAGGCCTCTTCTGTGTTTTTACTCCCAGACAGACAGGCTTAGGAGAAGGTCTTTTCCTGCCTGCTGTGCACTTTGTCCTGTTTGTCCTATTGGTTTTTCTCTGGAGCAACTTGGTAGGTGGAGCTCACTCTTGGTCATCCTTTGCAGTTCGGCTGGACCCATGTCACCTTATTGATCGTCGTGACCCAGTCGCACCTCGTCATTCACAATCTCTTTGAAGGCATGATCTGGTGAGTGAGGTGTTGGGCTTTTTCCTTATCTTTATGGATGTCTCTCATGTTCTGAGCGGGCTTCCCTCACGTCGTGCCCCGTCAGTGGCTCAAGTCACAGCAGAAGCCCCAAGAGAACTGGCTACAGTGCAGGTTGCTGACCCCGCCTCTGAGTGTCTGGGTCAGGGCCTTGGAACTTACCTTTCCTCCAAGTTTTTGGGTGATACTACTTGTCAGGGCGCACCCTGTGGGAACCACTGCTGAAGACGGAGGAGGGCAGGAGTATCTGAAGAGCCAAAGTCAGTGCTGGTGGATGAGAACAAATTTGAAAACGTAGAGCTCTCTGGTGGCCTAGTGGTAAGAAGCTGCACTGCAATCTCAGAGGCACGCAGTTTGAGGCCACCAGCTGCTCCGTGAGAGAAGGATGGGCAATCTCCTCCTGTGTTAGTTATTAACTTCCTCTGAAAACCTGCTGGAGGATCAGCTATGAGTTGGTTCTGATTCTATGATACACAACAACAACAACAACAACAACAACAATTTATTAAAATTTCCTGGAAAGATGTAAATGCCTGAATTTGACAGAGAAGTGTAATCCATAGCTGGGAAAGGAACCTGGACCAGATGGGCTGAGAGTTGGGAGTTGGGTCTCATCTAACCTTTAGTTTCCAAACCAGCAAGCACGTTGTTGCTATTTATTGTGAGATGCCGTTGGGTTGACTGCAACTCATGGTGACTCTGAACAAGAGATTTGCACTTGTCCTGTGCCAGCCTCATGAAAACCAGCAAGCATAGGGAGTAAAAAAACATGAATGAGAAATAGATTCTTTTTGATTATAAAGAAATCAGTTAAAATTAAATATTAGCTAATTGAATGTCAAAAGAATTCTGTTGCTGCTATGTACTGTGGAATCAGAACCAGCTCACTGTCGACCCTCGAGCAGATTTTCAGAGGCAGTAGAGGGCACAGGAGGAGACGGCCCATCTCTCCTCCGGGGAGTGGCTGGTGCGTTCATATCGTGTGTTTTCGGGTTGGCGCCTTGATCCCTTACCACTGAGTCTCCAGAGGACCATGACTGAGTCGTCTGTTGGAGAAATGCCAGAGCAGGTTCAGCAGGAAATCTGAGCATTAATAGAAATCGGCAGAATGACTGAAGAAGCTGGTGATAGCAGAACTTCAGACTAGCTTGAACTGGTTCATTCATGACTGAAAAGCAGAACAGGAAACAGATCTGAACTTTAATGATGTGACAGATCTGGAATGAGAAAAATGCTGGCTGGAGCCCTGGAATGGGAGACCAGGAAGAGCTGTAAACAACACGATTCACAGAAAGAGTTCTGTAGAATTATGGCCCTTAACTACTAGAAGAAAAATTAGAAATTATTAGATTAGAAAAAAAAATTAGAAAAGTGGTTACTTTTGACACTGATATTTTCTATATTGATGGGTTAAGAAAAAAAGTGGGAAAATTCTTCTTCACTATTATGATGTATTTGTCTGTATTATTTCATGGACTGGCCTGGTGGGTTATGAGTTGTGCTCCTACCCCAGAGGCACAGAGTTCAAACCCACCAGTTGCTCCACAGGAGAAAGCTGAGCATCTTCCTCCTATGTGTGTTACAGCGTCTGAAAACCCGCTGGAGGGTCAGCTATGAGTTGGTTCTGACTTGATGGCAGTGAACAACTTATTACTTGATGAGGAGCTCTGACATAGTGCATTACACGCTGTACTGCCGTGAGAGGCTGTGTGAATCCACCAGCCCCTCTGAGGGAGGAGGATGGGCAGCCGTCTTCTATAAAGATTTACAGTCTTGGAAACCCGAGGGAGTGTTGGTGTAAGTCCGAACATCCTGCTCGCAGTGGATTTGGTTTGCATTACTTTATAATGAGAAAAGAACAGTGATGCTTGGAGAAGTCAGCTCCATTTCTTTATTTGGTAGTCACTCAGCAGTGACTATTGCACTTTACGTCCTAGGTGCTAAGTGTGGCTAACTTGGCATTTTAGTTAGGGCAGAGTGGTAAGATCTATAGGCTTTCCAAGACTGTAACCTTCTGGAGGGAAGCTCTGGTGGCCTAGTGGCAAGAAGCTGAGCTGCAATCCCAAAGGCACATGGTTCAAATCCACCAGCTGCTCTGTGGGTGAATGATGGGCAGTTTCCTCCTGTGCAGTTAACTGCCTCTGAAAACCTGCTGGAAGGAAGGTCAGCTGTAAGTAGGTTTCGACTTGACAATGCACAACCACCACCACCACCCCCTTCTGGAAGCAAAGAGCCACATCTTTCTCCTGTGGAGCTGCTGATGAGTTTGAACCGCTGACATTTCAGTTAGCGGCTAGCTGCTCAAGTTCTCTGCCATCCCCTTGGGATACAGCCCCTTCATGGGTCGTTTTGATATTAGCCTCATATAGCCCTATGTCTTGGACTTTTTTTTTTTTTTTAAATTTTTTTTCGTGTGTGTGTGTGTGTGTGTGTGTGTGTGTGTGTGTGTGTCTGTACACACCGTCAAATCGGGTCTGACTGGTACAGGAGGAGATTGTTCCTCCTTTTCCAGCAACACATCTGGTGGATTCAAACAGCTTACCTCTGGGATTGCAGTGCAGCCTCTTGCCACTAGGCTGCCAGAGCTCGCCTGTCTTGGACTTTAGTGGAATAATATCTGCGTAGAGTTTATTTTGGCTCTTTTTCCCAGGTTCATCGTCCCCATTTCCTGTGTCATCTGCAATGACATCATGGCCTATATGTTTGGATTCTTTTTTGGTCGGACCCCACTCATCAAGGTGAGAGGATTATTCTAGAAGAAGGTGTTCTGGTCAGGGGTGGTTGGTGTTTCCAATACCAGTAGATCAGCTTGGGAGGCAAAGAGGCCAGCTAGCTGGTGTGGATTGTGGTCGTGTGTTTGTCTTCCTGGGGAAAAGCTGGCCCCGGAGAGCTCATCATTCGTTAATTTTAAGAGAAAAGCCAAAGGAAAACATTGACAATTCAGAAATAAAAATTGTAATGAAGATACATTTTGAGATTGTATAAGGCACACTGTTTGCGGCTTTTGATCAGATGTCATTGCTGTCATTGAAGGAATATACTCCTTTTTAACTATATTAAGTATACTTAATACATGTTGGTGTTGTGTACTGTCAAGTCAGAGCTGACTCGTAGCTGACTCTCCAGCAGGTTTTCAGAGGTAGAAAATTGCACGGGCGGAAATTGCCCCCTTCCTAAGAGCAACTGCTAGATTTGAACCTGTGCCTTTGGGTTGGGCATGAGGTTCTTTACCGTTGAGCCACGAGAATTTCCTATATTTAATATATAAATAGCCATTATTTGCCAAAATAGGTATTAAATAAGGCATGCAGTTTGAATCCACCAGCTGCTCCATGGGAGAAAGATGGGCAGTCTCCTCCCGTGTGATTAAACTGCCTCTGAAACCTCGCAGGAAGCTTGGCTGTCAGTTGGTTTTGACTCGAATGTGTACAACAGCACAGATATTAAATACATAAAAACCTAGTGAAGCCATAGGACCAATCAAAACATGAAGGAAACGGGTATTAAGAGGACGAAGAAGTCAGCCTGAGGAAATTTTGGATGGTGAGGGGTGTGACAGAAGGGAGTTTTTGTAATAGAGGTGTTCAGAAATAATAACAGTGTCTAGAGCCAGAGTTAGGAGGCCACCTTTGCTCAGGACTTGCTCTCTGTCCCACAGCTCTCGCCGAAGAAGACCTGGGAAGGCTTCATTGGGGGCTTCTTTGCCACCGTGGTGTTTGGTCTGCTGGTAGGTGGAGGTTTCTGGCTGGCTGGGAGAGCGGATGGAGACCTCAAACCCACTGTCCACTGTTCAGGCTAGAGAGTGTTTCCCAAGCTCAGGAAGTCGGTCCTGCTGAGTGAGAAAGGGTCAAGCATGGCGTGCCATCACCTCTAGGGACAGTGCTGGCTGGCCTTGCCAGTCAGCTTTCACAGTGGAACTGGGTTGGGGGGGGAACAGGCGCTGCACCCCTCATGGCCTCCCTGACACCTCGGTGGGCGTGGCAACAGCTGCCAGTGCTCCTGTCCAGGTGTTTGATGTGTCAGGGGCGGGGAAGGAGTTCAGGTGGAGGTGGAATGTACCACTTCAACACAGGCTTCCCCACGTCTGTGGCTGGAGGTAGATGGTTTTCAGCTGTACCAGCAACCACTCCTGGTCCTCATGCTGGTCTCTCCTTCCTCAGGGGTGTCTGGGTGCCCTCTAGTACTGACCTGTCCACTTTCAGCCTTCTTTCCCTACTTCAGCTGTCTGCTTCTCAGTATCCCACAACCCCCCGCCCTCCGTTTATCATTAGGCTGTAAGATCCTGCGGGAAATGGCACTATAGCTCCACTCAGATGGGGAGAAGCTGCTGATAATTCCTTGTCCAAATCCCTTTAGTTATTTTCTAAATTCTTTTAGGAGCCAGACATGTTAAGAAAATATGTGTGTTTTATGGCCTGTGGTGGCCTCAGTAGGCCATGCACAACCTTTTGGTTTTGTATTTGAATTGCATTAAAATAACATACGTAGTAGGACGTGAGCCTCTTCGTTTAACATAAGCTGGCCAGGTTCTTGGCAGTGAGAGGAGCACCCCAGGCCCCGTGTCTGCCTGCTGCCAGCTGGGTGGCTCGAACCCGCTCATCTGTTTTTCCTCCCCAGCTGTCCTATGTGATGTCCGGGTACAGATGCTTCGTCTGCCCCGTGGAGTACAACAATGACACCAACAGCTTCACCGTGGACTGCGAGCCCTCAGATCTGTTTCGCCTGCAGGAGTACAACATTCCTGGAGTTATCCAGTCGGTCATCGGCTGGGTACGTCGATGAGATGTGTACAGCCTCGGGTCCCCCTCTCCAGAGTGACTAGAAAGCACGTGACCCTTTCCCAAACAAAACCCCAGACACCTTTCTTCTCTCCCAAAGCTTTAAGATCTAGAGTGACAGGTAATTGTGTAAACCAGTATGAGGGTAGGAAGAGGCCTTTGCTCCACCTCAGCTCATCCAGACCACTGCTCCTCAGCGTGCGCTGTGATAGTGGGCCCCCAGGGGTCCCGGAATCCTGGCTGGAGGTCTGCAAAGACAGTTCTGGTGCTTCTGTTCTAGTGCCGTGACAGTCTCTGCTGCTTCCACTTTGTTGGCATTTGCTGTGATGGGGCAAAAGCTGTGGTAGCTGGTGACCTCTTATCACGCATGAAGGCTGTGGCCCCAGAATGTGCGCAAGTCGCCGATTCTCCACATTGTGCGCTTGCATCAAATGAGACCTCATTTCACTTCACATGGTTGATGAAGAATTTTCTAAGTCTTGGCCCGAGCACACACATCTTCCTGTTCCCTGTGATGAAGCGAGAGCATGCAGGAAGTGAAGTGGAAAGGTGGCTGCCGCAGGTCCACGCTTTGCCCCACGGGAAGGCGCTTGTGTGGTGCTTGGCATTGTGAGCTGAACTGGCATCTTTTCTCCAGAAACATCCTTTTTACTTGAAAAGAACTGACAGACTCCTGCTATTCAGACGTGGGTATCTTGCAGAATAGTGTGAGCCTGTCAGTGCTCGGAAACAACTGACAGAAATTGTCATCCGTCACAGATTTGGCTTCCAAATGAAGACAATAATTAAAAAAAAAGCATTGTGTATCTGCTGCTGTGAACTTGACACCTTCCTAATATGTAGACTTTACTAATGAGCTCTGTGGGGGTGATGGTGATTCCACCCCCCTTTTTACATTATGCAGTCTGATGTGTATGCATTTGGGAGTTTTATATAACTCAGTGAATTAGCATGGTAATAGTCAGTCATGCATCTGTACAAGACCTGTTCACTGCTTAAAAAATAGTCCAGATGAATTTCACACAGCAGGGCAAGAAAACGTTATTGATAGGGTTTCAGATTCTGTGTGGCTCCTACATACAGCTTGTCATGTTCTAGTAGACCAAAGACGAATAGCTCAAACTATCTGAAAAAAACTTCCAAGATACTTTTTTCAACTACATGGTTATGTGTATAAAGCTGGCTTTTCTATAACCAAAGTAATGTATCAATCACAGAGACTGAATGGAGAACATCTTAATTTTCTTATGTCTTCAATGAAGCCAAACATAAGAGACTTTAAAAAAAAAACACAGAGGTGGTGATGGAACCTACAGTTCTCATTTGTGTGCATGTCAAAATACAGTTAGTTTTGTAAGTGATTTATGCTAACAAGTAGTAAGGCTGGGCTTGTGGGGATCTGACTTTGACCTTGTCATCTTTTTTCAGAGAACAGTCCAGATGTACCCCTTCCAGATTCACAGCATCGCCCTCTCCACCTTCGCTTCCCTCATCGGCCCTTTTGGAGGTTTCTTCGCAAGTGGATTCAAACGCGCCTTTAAAATCAAGGTAGGAGAACCCCTCGCACTGTCCCTGCCGTCGTGTCTCAGCCAGTCTCCTCCCCATCTCACTTCCTCACCTTCACTCCTCTCCAGCCTTTCCCACCAGGTTCCCTTACCTATCACTCTCTTCAAATACTGATTACTAATGTGCATTCTTCTTGGCCCGTGCACTGAATTTTGGCAAATTAAATAAAAATAGATTATTTCCAAGAAAATTCTGTGGCCGGTCTCTTATTAACGTAGCTTCTTCGAAAGAGAATCGAACTTTTTAAAAGGTGCTGTGCTATTTAATAGCCACAGCATTTGATTCAATGTTTAATTCTCACTCCTTGCTGACCTCAGCTCTTCAGGACAGAAACTGGCCATTGAGGTGGGGCCATTAGGCATTTTTTTGGCCGAGTCCAGGCTCATCACTCCTTCCCTGCCTCCAATAGGACTTTGCCAATACCATTCCTGGCCACGGAGGCATCATGGACCGCTTCGACTGCCAGTACCTCATGGCCACCTTTGTCAACGTGTACATTGCCAGTTTTATCAGGTATGGTGCTTTTTGATCTGAGCTGAGTGGGTGGACTTTTGAAGCCTGGTGAAATGAAATAGAATTTAGCTACGTCACTCATGTAAGGAGATGGCTTGACAGAGTGCCCGCAGCAGTGGGCTTCGTAGAGTAGAGATTGTGACACAGGTGTAGGGACAGGACAGGGTTCTGTTCTGTCGCTCAAAGGGTCGCTGTTGCCCGTAGTCGATTTGACAGCACTTAAGAACAAGTTCAGGTGGAAAGTACTGCAGATAGGAATGGAGTTTTCAGTTGTGACTTTTGTGGGTTCTCCAGCCCCACTGCTCTGCGTTAGTTTGGATGAGCCAATTGTCAGAGCAGCCACTTGGCTAAGCAGGCCCTGGAAGGAGCTGTGCGTCAGCTCACGGCTGTGTTGTCCCATTATCTTCCAGGGGTCCTAACCCCAGCAAGCTGATTCAGCAGTTCTTGACCCTGCGGCCAGATCAGCAGCTCCACATCTTCAACACGCTCAAGTCTCACCTGACTGACAAGGGCGTGCTGACAGCCGGCACGGAGGACGAGTAGGGGCCACCCCGGCCAGGAGAGCAGACGCAGGACCGAGCGAAGGGCAGGCCTCGGGCAAGCCCAGCCCGCGTGCGGCTTAGAAGATGACAAGCCTTCAACTCACTACTTTCTCCTTTTCTTTTGGGTAGATTCCCCCCTCCCCCCATTGTGAGATTTTAAAAGAAAATCTGTATATAGATTCTTTGTGTTTATGACTGGGATTGTAAGTAAACTATAGCTTTAAGTTGGAAATAAGTCACAGGTTTAAACCCATTTGGGTTTTTGAAACAGAAGTATTTTAATAATTTGGAAGGCAGGGTCACTGCAGCTTGAGCGTGGCTGCTGGACGGTCTGAGCCCCTGTTGAGTGGACTTGTGTCTGGACTTCATCACAGAGCAGCGAGCGTGTCTACCAGGCTCTGGGAACCTGGGTCCTCTTCTCCAGAACTGCCGGCTGCACCGAGGGGGCCTGGCTCCGGGATCGTCGCTGCACTGGAGAGCTGTCATCTGAGCACGACTCCGGCCATCCTCCCTATGGGCTCTCAGAGGAGAACTGCCTCGTGCTGGGCTGAAGGGACGCAGGCTTATTAGTCATAGAAGTGTTTTTCTCTGCACCCAAAGCCTGCAGGATTGAAGCTTGGCTTTGTAATGGGGTTACAAAAATGGGCTTACTTCATCACAGACTGAAAGGTTTTAGTTTTTAATTTTTTTTTTTAAAAAGAAAGCATGAGAGATTATTTATAAATAGTTTGGGGAGGGGGCGTGGAACAAAACCACACTGTAGTATTTCAGACGTCTGCAGTAGAATGTATTGTAACTGAGCCCTTTTCGTGCGCAGGTTTTAGGCTCCAGTGTTCCTAGAGGGCAGGCCAGCTGTGTCTTTTCAGGGATGTTGCTGTAGACCCACTGCTGCTGAATCTTTTCCCGGGCTTCGTCACTAGGCCGGGAACAAGAGGCTTTTGCTTTTAGTTATTCCTGCATCCATGGCCACCACCCACGCAGCTGCTGTGTCGTGTGTGTGTAACTACTCTTAACAGTGAGCGTGTCTTGTGGCTGTGCGTGTGTTTTACAAATCACCTATTTCTTCAGTGATCGTAGTTGTGCCATGACTTCACTGAAACCACAGTGTCCTGCTTTTTAAAACTATGGAAAACCTAACCGACTAGAGGTTTGACTCTTCTGAAGATTAAATGCATACTTTTTATATAATGTGACCAGTTTAAATGTACTTTGTATTTTACGGGGAGACTTTTTTTTTTTATAAACTGTGACTTTTTTGTTATTTCCTGCAACACAGGAACGTGATTTTCTTGGGGAAGACACAGTCATTAGAGCTGTAAGCATTTGACTACAGCTTCCGTATGCCAGGTGATCCCATGCCATGATGATTCCCATTGCCCAGTGAGGGTGTGATGATTGGCTTCAGCACCCGGTCTGTTGGCTGTGTGTGTTTGTGTTTTTCTTTTTAAAACATCAGCTTTTCTGGCTCTCTTTGCGCCCACAGTCCAGATCACTGAAGGGCCCTGGCGCTGTCAGACCCCAGGCGCCTCACTGTGTAACATCCACAGCCTTGCAATGTGAAGCCACTCCTTTCTTCTTCGCTTTTGCTTCCATTTCAGTTGAATGGCTTTTCTTTCTCGGGTCCAAGACCCTCCATGAAAACAAAGCATACGATCCCGAGGGGTTGTAGTCCTGGCCCGGTGACCCTGGGCAGGACCCCTTGCTCTCTGGCTCCTCATTTTCTGATCCCACGTTTCTGTGATTCCGATGGAGCAGGTTCTTGGTGGTGGAGGAAAGTGCTGGGCAGCGAGTCCTGCCTGAGTGCCAAAAAACCCAAGTACTCTCAGGCCTTTCCTAAACGCGTGTCTTTGAAAAGGTCAGTATTTCAGCAACAGAACCTAAACCAGGAAGATGGTTAGTAACAAAGCAGGCATTTCCTAACAGATCATCAAGCCGGATGGTACACACTTTGTATGTCCCCTGTTGCTCCGTGCAGACTCCAGGTAGGGAGCTGAGATGTATTATCTTCTGAGCTGAAGTTGAATTATCTTCTGATTTTCCTACATGGTTCCTTGTGAAAGCCAGCGAATTTCCTACTCTCTTAGCCAGAACGCTGGCCCCCTATATCTCTATAGCACATTATTCTTTCTCTCAAAAAACACTCAAGTTTGTTGCAGCTGAGTTGGAACCAACTCATAGCTGACCCTCCAGTGGGTTTTCCAAGGCTGTAAATCATACTTGGGGAGATTTCCCCTCTTTCTTTCTCCCTCAAAGGCAGTGTTGAATTGGAACAGTCAGCGAGGTGCAGCCTCTCAGTGAGCAGTGCCGTGCCTTATGGACTGTGCCAGCAGGGAGGAGGCTCCTGTAAAGATCCCAGCCTCAGCAGGCCTGGGGAGGGCCAGTGTGGGCTGGAGGGTACTCCCCTGCATCAGGCCCAGGGGGAGACTCAGCAGTAACCTGCGGTACGCAGACAGCACAACCTTGCTGGCTGAAAGTGGGCAGGACCTGAAGCACTTGTTTGACGCTAACCCGGTTGCTGAGTTCTCCAGAGCATGAATGTAACGACTCCTTGAGTCCTGATCTTCAGAATGCTCTTGAGTTCCTGGAGACTCGAGTTGACAGAAGTGGGCAGAGGGCGGAGGTGAATGACTCAGGATCCAGGGTGCCACTGTCGAGTAGAGAGCAGTTGCGTTTCTCACGTGAAGTCTTCTCTGGTGGATTCTCAGGGGAGCCAGGTTTTTCAGCCCTGCGCGCTGTGGTCCATCATTGGCCAGATCTCTTCTATTTGAGAGATACCTAGGTGCTGCTGGGTTCTAGCTGTAGAGATGAAGAGGAGGGCTCAAGAGGGGACAGTGTTGAGGTGACTGCCGTGGGCACGTCACAGGGCGTGAGACACAGAACGACTACTCCTGTCGGGTCTCCGATGAGGTGGTAATTCTTAGGCAGAACCTCACAGATTTAAAAAAAATAACCAAACCAAACCAAACCAACTACTTCTTTTCTCCTTATCATCGTCCACACCGTTGCCCAACTTGCAGGTTTTAAAGAGATCAAGCGCTCCCACTTTCTGACTCAGTTTACCCTGTTTAGTGGGAGCTGGGGTTTGGACCCAGTGATGACGAAGGAATCTCAAGAGCTCTTCTAAAACCACCCTGTCTTGGTCTTGGTTTCTCCCCATCCACATCCCCCCACAGAAAGAGGCCCATTCTCGGTAAGGATCTCCGTTCCTGCTGTGGCCTGTGTCTTGTGTTTCCTTTTGGAAATGCCCTCACCCATTCCTTTCTTGCCCTGGCCCGCCCTGCACCCCCCCAACCTGGCCAGCAGGCACCCCGCTCACTTGGGCTCTGGGGTTGGAGGCTGTTCTGGGGCTGCCTCTTTACTAAGCAAGGCTTTCTATTACCTGCTTGTATGGGGACCATGTTTTCCTCAGCAGACAGCCTTAGGAGGGACAGTGTGGGGGTATAGTGTGGACACTGATACGTGTGTGGGGAGGTTTAGCACATGTGGATGATTTTGCTAGTAGAGGGTACAAAATGTGAAGATGAAGGTTTCCTGGCTGGCAATTTGCACATCTGTTGGCTATTTGAAGACTGTGTCCCCTCTGCCACCAAATGCCAATCTTCTGAGGCCCCTTCTCTATTCTTGACTTAGAGACCTTTTAGCAGTCTTATAGTAACAGTTGCAATAATAATGCTTAATAGGTGCTCGGTACAGTACTCAGTGTTTATAGAATTACCTTTTTTTAATCCAGAAAACAGTCTTTGATTGAATGCTATCCTCCCATTTTATGGATAAGGAAACAGGCATCTTGATTAAGGCCGAGAACAGCAGTCAAGAAAGTGGACTCTGGGCCCCGATAGCCCTGGATTTTCGTCCTGCCTTGCCGCTCACTAGCCATTTAACCCCTGTGGGTTACTCAGCAGCTCTGAGCCTCTGATTCTGACCCAGTTGAGTCTGATAGAGTTGCTGCTGTCGTTGGATTACTGTAAGGATTTAATGATAGAATGCCTGTGAACCTTAAGACTAGCGTCTGACACATAGCATTCAGTAAAAAAGAGTGGTTACTCTGGTTCAGCTGTTCAGAGCTGGGCATCAGACTCATTCATTTCAGTTCAACTCCCTGCTGAAGTTTTGCCTTTCTGCTTGAGATATACTGAGTTAGAATCTACTTTTTAAACAGATCCCTAGGTCATTCTTACATATACTGGATAGGATGTGAAAAAAAAAATCTTTTAAAATACCTGTTAGTTTGCTGAGTGGAGAATGAGGGGAGCTGCGAATGTATGCGTGTGTGAGGGGAGACAGACAAGATCTCTGGGGCTCCATGCAGCTCACAGGTTAAGATGTTAAGATGTAGATACTGACTCAGTAGTACTGATACAGAAAGGCAGACTTGCCAGTGAGAGATTGAACTGGTGATGAACCCGTTGGAAGCCCTCGTTCAGAGAACTTCTTGTATTCCTGGTGGGAATTGTTTGCATGAGAATCTTGCCCACTCTTTGTTGCCCCAGATCTGGGCCCCTCGTGGGGAAGGAGACCTTCCCTGTTGCCCTGGGATACTCCTGTTCTGTGCATGGGGAAGGCCTGTTGGTGACCGTTTCTGGTCTCCCCTGCTTCCTTGGCCAAGGGCTGTGCTCTGCACACAGCGACATAGCTCAGGGCTGGTGGCACTTCTGTGTGCCTGAACATGCCAGGAGCAGAAGAGAATGGGGCAGGGGATGCCGCCTCAGCAAAGCTTGACCTCCCGCCGTTCCCTCTCATTGTACTCCTCTGTAGCCTTGAACTTCCTTCTTTGTTGAAAGGATTAGCAGGCTGAAGCAGATGATAACTGACCACTGATGTGGGGCGTTTGTGCTGGATTCTCAGCTGACCAAGGGCCAGATGGGACGCTGATGAACGTGACTGGACAGAGTGACTTTTTTAAAACTTGTTTTCTCAGTGGAGATTGATGGAGTGAGTTAATGAGTGTGTGTGTGTATGTGTGTGTGTGTGTGTGTGTGTGTGTCTGGTGTGGACTCTTCACTTTGAAGGAGTGGTATTGCCTAACAGGACACAGGATATTCTCAAGTTGGTAAAACAATAATGTAGAAATACCAACTTGGCTGTAGATTATCTCCTGGGCATTAGTGGGCAATGAAGACCAGAT